CCCGGCAGGCGGAGGGGCAGGCTCATCCTCTCGCCAGTCACTTCACACTTGCACCCACCTCCATCCATGCGTCCACCCGTCCATTCATACCGTCCGCGTTCATTCAACATTTATGTCCCCCGCCACCGCCCAGTCAGCGCGCGCCTAATGTGTGCAGGCGAATCGGGCAGTTTCGGGGGCTACCGCGCAGAGGTGGACCCCAGCCTCACCTCTCCTCGCTCCTCCGCCTCCCTTCGCTCCTGATAATGGTGGTACATGTTGGTCACAGGGGCGAGAGGATGCCTGCACCCCCTCCCAGCCGTGCTCTGGGCGCAGCGATGCCAGAAAGCCCTGCTCTCTCATCTCCCGTTTCTTTCGGTCCTTTCTGTTCCTACTTACCTTTCCCCTCCCAAGACAGGGATGCAAGGTGAAGACTGGAGAAGAGAGCCAGAGGTGCCTGCTAATTCAACAAGTATCTATCGAGGTGTGTGTGAGGCAATGAACCTAGAATAATACGGCTGCCGTTCCGAAAGGGTCGAGGTGCGTGATTTCATTCAGTCATCACACCGACCTGGTGAGGTAGCTGATACTGTTCCCATTACACAGATGAGGACACTGGAAACTCTTGGCTCAGTGATTTGCTCAAGGTCACACAGCAGAGTCAGAGTTGCGTTCAAGGCTGGACTCCTTTCAGTTCTACCAGGTGGGTAGGCAGCCAGACACCTCACCTGTGGTGTGCGTGGAGCTGGGAGGCAGTTCAGGGAGCAGTGGGACATGGCAGGGCAGATGGTTCTTCTAGGGCTTCCTAGAACAGGAACACCTACAGGCAGAGCTGAAGAATGAGGAGGTGGCTTTGCAGGCGGCTGGTATGGGAGGGGAGGTCTTCAGGGTAGAGGAAGCGGCAGGTGCTTTGTGGGCTGGGCCTTCTGGAAATCACAGATAGGTGACGGGTGACCACCACTTCAGCGTCAGACTGACACTTTAGCCATTCCCTGCCTCCAGACTGGAGCTTCCTAGGTATCAGACTCCACTCTGCTCTCTCACCCTTTGAGATTCACACAACCCCTTTCCTCCTGCCAAGTAACTGCTGAGATGACCCACTCTTCCCGCTGTAGCCAAAGCCCATTTCAAAGTCACTGGAGATGCTCTGTTGGGCCCAGGATGAATGGGAGGGGAGCTGGGGCAGCACCCGATGGGTCCTGTGACTGTGTCACTTCTGCAGAACAGTATGGAGAGCTGAGGCTAAACCTAAGGCAGGACTTTGACCTTGGGCATCTGCATGTGGGATGATGGTAATAGATCCTGTAACTCCAAAACTGTCCTGTCTGCTCTGGGTAGACTGAAGCAAAGAGGGGCTGGTGGGTGTGTGTAGACACATGTGGGGGTCACTGCATCACAGAAGGGCTGTGTGTGTTTAGGCCATGTGGATTTGTGTCTCTGTGCGTGTGGATAGAGGACGAGTTCGAGTTGATGACTGGAAGTCACCCTGGGTAGGGTGCATCTGTATGGGGCTTGATTTCTCCCTGTGTTTTGGTGCTTGTGTCTGCAAAGTGTGGGGAAATTGGTCTGTCTGAACTATGCTTTGACTAGCACTGGCCTCTGGTGCTGAGAGCCTTCCCTGTGAGTGTGTGAGTGCCTTTGTGTCCATGACTCTGGTGTGTGAATGTAGAACTTGGTATATCGGCTCCCACTGTGAAGACTCGACCCTCGATGTTACCCCCAGCCCCCAATCTAGAGCGGCGCCCATTTGCTATGTACAGACTGGGGAGGAGGCTGCAGCACATGGGGGTTGGGAGGCAGTTCATGCAGGGACAATCAAAGGATAGCTGCAGCAAACAGGGTGCAGCCGGTGAAGTGGAAGGTGCCGATCCATGTGTGCATGGCGGTGGGCACCAACTGAGCCGGCACAGCCCACGCTCAGAACTATGCCATTCATGGCCTTCCAGACAACTGGGGTTGGAGTGAGCAAAGGGCTCCCTAGGTCCCCAGTCATTGAACACTGGGGTGCATGTGTCTGGGTAGGGAATGAATCACAGGTGTGAGTCTTCCCAACCCAGCCAGATTATCCAGTTTTGCAGAGATAGTCTTATTTTCCCTCATGAGGGATCCTGAGTTGCCAATGTTTCCCCCTTTCCTATATATCCCAAAATAGCTGCTCCCTAGACAAGAGATCATAAGCCAGAAAATCTTTTCCTTCCCCATCAGACCTGGGACAGCAGGAGGCTCAAGGTCCCTCTGGTCCTGAATTAGCCCCAATCAGTGACAGTTTGAGGAGGGGGAAGCCTATTGTTTGGCCTAACAGACCAGAGGGAGACTCTTGAGTCTGTGCATGGGGGGGAAATCCTGGGGTCCCCAGGGCCAGTGGTGCTCTGGCAGACTCAAGGGAACTGCAGTTGCTGGGTCCTTGGCCACAGCAGCATTGAACTTGGAAGCTTCTGGCAAAATGCCTATGTCCAAGAGAGACCAGGGAACTTGGGTCTTCCATCTTCAAGCTGGACCCTCAGTCCTGGCGCCTGCTCTTCTCAGGGAGGGCTGACCTGAAGTCTTGGTTTTGCTCGAGCTGTCTATCAAGTGGTGCCCACATGACCTCTTTTCTGGAACCAGCCATGTTGATCTAATCCTGAGTCTCTGAGCCACAGGTCCCTGTCATATCCAACTTCAAGTGTCAGCCTGGGCAGTGGCCCCAGGTGATAGCCCCCGCCCTCCTCCCAAATCCTTCGTGACTTACACTAACCTCTGTCTGGCAGGGACTAGAGCAATTGAAAAGTAATTGGGTTTTCCACTTGCTAATGCTCCTGCAGGCCTGGGAGTGTGGATGGGATGCTTTTTTAGTAAGACAGAGATCAGAAAATAAGCAAGGGTAGAGGCAACAGGGACTGGGATGAGGGCCCAAAAAGTGGGCTCTGGGTCTGGGAGAGCCACTGAGACAAGCTGTGGGATTTGGGTCTTGGATCCAAACTGTCAAAGTGCACCTGCCCTGATGAGGGACCCAGGGACGGCGTGTCCTCTGCGTTCCAGGCTGCACTCTCAGCCTAGGTCCCCCATCCTCAGGTCTGGGTGGCTTGAAGGGACCAACATCCACTGAGAGAGCAGGGGCCTGGGGCCCAGAGTCAGGCATCCTTGGTGACTTTGAAAGCTAGACTGCATCTTCATACCCGGGTGAGGCAGGGGAGACAAGGCTGGAGAAAATAGCTTCCTGTCTATTCACTCATCCATGTGCTCACCGAACACACGCTGTGCTGATGGCTGGGCAGGCTGCACAGAGAGGGGCTCCTGCAGAGAGGGCCTGCTGCCTAGGGTGGAACACCTTCATGTAGAAAAGTGTTTTTTGATGGTATCCAATACCCGTAGAGGCCAGCCAGGAGACAGAATGGGATTGGGCTCACAATGGTAATGTGTGTGAGCCCAAAGACAAAACCAGCCAATCTCCAGAATGTGTTGTGTCTAGTGTCGAGGGGAGGGGAGGAGCACAGGCGTTGGGGTCAGAAAAACTAGACTGCCAGCTCTGCGATCTACTACATGATCCTAGAACGGTCACTTCCTTAACCTCTGTGATGCACTGAATCGTGGCCCCCAAAGGTGCCTATATCCTGAGTAGCTCAGTACTGTGTATCATGTGCGAGAGGGGAAAAAGCCACATTCCAGTCCCCAGAATCTGAATGTGTTACATGGCAAAAAGAACTTCGCAGATGTGACTAAAGAAAGGTCTTGAGGTGGGAAGGTGATTATGGATTATCCAGGGCGGGTCCAGTGTGATCACAGCCTTTTAAGAGGAAATGTGGTAAAGGAAGCAGATGCCGGAGGAGTGCTGCTGCTGGAGTGGCCATGGGACGAGAAATGTGACGGCCTAGAAGCAGGAGCTCCCAAGAGCCTCCAGGAGCAATGCAGGCCAGAGGATTCCTGGATTTGGGGATGTCTGATTCCCAGGACCGTAAGGCCACTAAATTGGTGATCTGTTACAGCAGCAGCCGGAAACTGTCGCCCTTTCTGTGTCCACTTCGCTAGTTATGAGACCTTTGCAGATGCCATTGTGTGATGATTCACCAAGACCACACAAGTGTGCAGAGCAGCGGGGCTAAGGCGCCAGCACAGTGGAGACAGACACAAGCATATGCATAATATTTTAACAATGCTTTCACATCCTGAAGTCATTGTGCTTGAGGTTGGGGATTTAACTCAGTGGTGGCATGCCTACCTTTGCAAGCACAAGGTCCTGAGTTTGATCCCCAGTACCAAAAAGAAGAAGAAGACAGCGATCATAGTAAATGTGTGTGCTACTGTGGCTATTTTGACACAAGAGCACACAAGGGAAAGGAAAAGGCTTGGCTTGTTTTTCCTGGGAGGGATGTTGGGGGTGGAAAGGCAGGGAGCTGTAGGGTTTCTAACTGTGACCTGAGTCACCAGACGTTTGAAGAAAATCTTGAACAGAAGAAAGATTCACATAAACACACAGCAGCAACTTGGGCTGGGTATTAAGGGAGGAATATGAGTTTGCAGATTTGCTTTGAGTGAGACGTGTTGGACAGGAGTGGAAGAGGAAGAAGGTATAGTATCCCCGGTGGAGGGGACAGAGTGAGCACAGCACGGTGAAAGGCCTGTTCTGGGACCTCAACCAAAGCTAGTTTGCTCCAGGGCACTCCTTGAAAGGGAGCAGTGAGAAACAGAAAGAGGGTGAAGGGCTGGCCTTGAACATTGGCAAAGGAGTTTGATCTCAATTCATCCCAAAGACAGTGGGGTTTAAGTGAGGGACGGATATAGGCAGAGTGACAGTATTGCTCTGCAAATTAAAAACATTTGAAATTAATAAAGATACATG